GAGGGGGGTTGTAACTTTCTGTAATCTGTTAGCACAATCTTTGTGATAAGGGTTACTTTATCTTATATATAAAATATGTTACATTCAGAAAATAAAAATAAAAAAGATAAAAAATGGGGCCATCATCGACTCAACAACAAAAACATACCAAATGTATTCTTACAAGTTGGGTTTGGAAGACTAGTGTGTAAGCAGACTTTACCCCTACCTTACGGAGGTAAAGATGTTGTTTTCGATAAGCCATCCTCAACTCCTAAAATCCGAATGAGGGGAAAACTACTTTAAAATATGATCATACGTCAATAAGAATCCAACCTAAGTTAACCTACATGTTTCCGTAGCGATTATCCTATAAAGTTACTTCAAACTCAGCACTTAAATTTAAGAATACATCGAACTTACACTTGAATTTAATCCTCATCAGGAAAGTGAAGTTTAAAGCAATCAATTTCTTTGGATCCTCTATTCCGTGTGCTGCAGAATGATATTAACACATTCCAACATGTCATCACTTAAAATTGACTTTGACCTTTTTTCTTCCAAATTTTTGAAAGATATTGGATTATACCCCACACCAAACAACCCAAACAGTGTGGGAGAAGCTCTTCCCTTCTTCCAATCATACAAGCCGATGATATATCAAGGCTAATCAGATTGTGCTACTTTGGTGCAACTAATAATTTCTAGTGCTACTTCTCCAAAATAATTTCTAGTGCTACTTTGGTGCAACTAGTACAATATTTTGAGTTAAAAATCCAAGATGGAGTCGGTGAATATACAAGCATGGAATAGAATATTACCAGAAGTACCTCAAGGCTCTAAGTAATGAGAAGTTAAACTCCGAGAAATGCCAAAGCTGGGAACTTCAGGGCTCCTTCAAAGACTGTACATCCTAATGTGGAAGAAGAGAGGAAAAGGAGGAGAAAGAACTGCAAAAAACACTTGTTGCATAACTGACTCCTGCAGATTACTAGTAACATTAAACTTCAAGTGATGAGGGAACTGACAATTGACATGAGACATACAAAGCAAAAAATTGATCTCTGATAACACGACCAATAAATTTATAATTGGAGTTTAATTTTTAGCTAAAAGTAGCATGAATGATTCTGTGATTCTCGAAGACTCATCTGTAGAAAATTTACATCATTCACAACTAATGTAGCTTTCTATTTTTTTCTCATTCTCGCCTTTTAAAGAAATTCTAGTACCTCCCCTTTAAAGAAATTCTAGTACCTCTGGGAGCAAGAATAAAGATATACAACTAAGAAGAAGAGAAATCACCTTTTTGGACAAAAGTCATGCATCTGCATTCCCTGTTGCTGTATCAGAGTATCTAAGCTCCCGCAGATGTTGAGCTATCTCAGTCAAGAGTTTTGTTCCTTCTCCACCCCTCTGTAATGTCATGGCCGCGTGTTTTAAGAAGCCACTTTCTGCTTCTACAGCTCTCAATCTCTCTCTGATTAGAGACACTTCTCTTGTAAGGGTAACCTTATTCTCATTTCCTAACAACATTATCAAACTTTTAGTATCTATTGTCTGATAATCAACAACAATGAAAAGAAAAAGATAGGATGATAAACAGGGAAGCAAAGACTCATATGTACCTCTTTCTTGAATAACATTAGGCTCTAACACATGAGATTCAACATCAGGAGGTATTTTAATCTTCTTTTCAAGGTTTGTCAACAAACCCTGTAGATAAGATCTCTCGTTCTCAAAATCAAGGTTTGATTGATCAACAATTCCCTCTCCATATTCCCTAGGACGTTCAATATGGAGCTCGTTTACTCCATCTTGATCTACTTCACGAGGACTGCCACAGTCTGATCTTTCACCGAAGGATGATACAGAATGAGATTTCAACTCTTGATAATCATCATCTGCATCGACTTCACAGACCTCACTACCTACTTTCTTGATATGTCCATATTTCTCCCTGTAGGTCTCGAGTTCAGCCTCCAATACCTTTATCTCTTCCTCCCTCTTCAAAACTAGGTCTTTCATGACTTGCAAGGCCTCTTGGTCATATTCTGCTTGTTCTTCCATCATTCTCTGATATTGCAATGCTTCCATTTGGACAGCTGCCTTCTCTGCTTGCAAGCGCGTGATCATTGCCATGGCATTGTTTGCTGCAACAGCAGAGGCACTTCTTTCTTCATCCAATTCCATGTACAGTTCCATGAGAGACTTTCGGTCCAGACGAACCTGCCTCTTTAAGCGATGCAAGATGTCATCGTCTGCTGCACTCGTGTCATTAGCATCTGAAATGAATTCACTCTTATCACCACCCAATTTTCTGGGCCTATAAGGCCACTTAGGACTGGCTTGAGCTGAGTCTGACAATGGGATTCCAAAGAATTTATTTCTTGCAGAATTTGGGGTTTTGCAAGAATCATCATGTATGTCCTCAGGATCTGGTAGAAGTGGGACACTAGCAGCTTTAATATCATCTCTACCTGCTACACATTGGAAAAAAGAGAGATAAAGTAGAATAAACTATGCAAAGAGATGTGAACTATGAGGTGGTGGATGCTAAGATCCTTCTTGATTCAGAGAAGCTTTCTGCAACTGCAATTCCACCATTTCTTCTGCTTGCATTATTCTTTCTTTCTTAAAACGAGTACCAAGCACTAACATACCATAAAATTAACAACATAACTCGTAGCATCAAAGACAGATAAAGGGCAAAAATTGTAACCCCCCCCCCCCCC